TTGGTCGCAGGACAGATAACAAGGACCGTCTACTGCAACTGTGCACAGACCACAACCTATTTCTAGCTAGCACTAACTTTCGGCACAGTCATCGCCGATGTGCCACCTAGAGTCCTCCCTCAGCAGCTCAAGCCTGGACTCAGATTGGTTACATCGCGATCAGCTACCGCTGGCGTGGTTGTGTACAAGACTGTCGCTCTTTTGGAGTACCTATATGGACTCTGATCATGTCCTATTCTGCGCCAATCTTACCTTATTTTTCAGTGGTCATCGTATTGATCGTCGTAAGCGGATTGATATCTGTAAATTGGTTGCAAATCACAATTGACGGAGAAGATTTGGAAGATGTAAAAACCTTTACAAATTTGGGCAGCATCATTGATGAACAGGGTGAATCTAATGCAGATGTGAAGGCGCGGATCGGCAAAGAAAGATCAGCATATTTACAACTGAGGAACATGTGGAACTCAAAGCAACTGTCAACCAACACCAAGGTCAGGATTTTCAATACAAATGTCAAGACAGTTATACTGTATGGGGCAGAAACCTGGAGAACTACGAAAGCCATCATCCACAAAATACAGGTGTTTATTAACAGCTGTCTACGCGAAATACTTCAGATCCGTTGGCCGGACACTATTAGCAACAATGTACTGTGGGAGAGAACAAACCAGATCGCAGCGGAGGAAGAAGCGCTTGAAGTGGATAGGACACACATCGAGGAAAGCACCCAAATGCGTCACAAGACAAGCTCTCACATGGAATCCTCAAGGCCAAAGGAAAAGAGGAAGACCAAAGAACACATTACGCCGGGAAATGAAAATAGACATGAGAAAATAGAACAAGAAAAGAAGGCCCAGGACAGAGTGGGTTGGAGAATGCTGGTCGGCGGCCTATGCTCCATTGGGAGTAACAGGCGTAAGTAAATTGGTTGCAACTTCTGTTGCAAGTAAGTATCGAACCGAGCTAGCTTTCAGGCTAGCAACCATCCCACCGAAAAGTATAGATGAGCATTGATTGCAACCGCACGACGCCACGAAAATGGCGAGTAAAGCCGTATGTGGCTTCGTGAAGCATCCCGCTTATAAGCACAGGGTTTTTTCAGTCTTCTTACACCTCATCGAAGCCCATTGGTCTACTCCGGGTGACTGTTAGTTTGACTACAAACGAAGACTTTTACGTAATGAAATCGGGAAAAGCTTGCACAAGAACCGAGAAACCTGGTGGTTGGAACGTGCTAATGAGTTGGAAGCAGCAGCTGAATCTGGTAACTGCCGGAAGCTCTTCCAACTCATCCGAGTGACTGGCAGCAAGAAGTCTGGTGTGAGCGAAGCAATCCGCGAGGGCAACGGGATGCCAATCACCATTATCCATCGACGTCTTGGACGATGGGTAGAGTTCGACAAAGGGGCAGTTAAACTGACCTTTTGCCCTGGCGATATCCACTAGACTGTCCTTCCCTCTATGGTCGGTGACAACTGATCCACCAAATGAGGTCGAAGTCCGTAAGGAACTCCAACGCTTAAAATGATATAAATCACCGGGCCCAGGCGACTTACCCCCAACTCTCTTTAAATATGGTGGTAACTTTCTGGTTAAGGAACTGACAATTCTACTTACAAAAGTCTGGGAGCTAGAGTGTTCCAACATCATGGAACGAGTCGATAGTTGTCCCTATCTTTAAAAAGGGTTCATGTCGTTCCTGTAACAACTATCGGCGTATAAGTCTACTTCCGATTGCGTCTAAACTATTGGCTTCCGTCATACTTCGTAGATTGTTCAAAACCCCAGAAAAATTGACTCACGAGAAGCAAGCTGATTTTCGTTCTGATCAATGATGTATTGATAATATCTTCATCCTCCGCCAAACGTTGGAACATCGTCATACTAGTCACAGAACAATAATCGTAGTGTTTCTTGAAATAAGGGCTGCCTTTGATTCGTTGGACAGACAGTTCTCTGGGATTGTCTATTGAAGAAGGGTGTGCCTGAGAAGTTTATTAACATCCTAAAGGCCCTATATACAGACACCTCAGGTACAGTGAAGGCATAAAACCACCTCTCTCCATTGTTCCATTTAAGCAGTGGGGTTAGGCAGGGTTGCCCAATCTCACCACTCCTCTTCAACTTGACCATCGATGACATTCTGGGAACAGCTCTGATGGATGTAGGTAGTGGCGGTGTGAATCTGTCGCCTGAAGAAAGACTTCTCAACCTTGAGTATGCGGGTGATATTGTCTTACTGTGCGACAATGCCCAAGCCATTTAACTTGAAGTTTAGATAGAGTCGAACTATGTAAAATAACTTAATGTGATCTATGTAAAGATAGATTTTTTTGAATAATTTATTAAAATTATGTATTTGTTAGTCAACCATATAGTGAATAATGAAAGCGTCATTGCTCATTTTTCTATCATTTAAGTTAGTAAAAATTAACCTTAGAAAAACAAGTTATTTGATACTGCATGGAAATGTAGAAAGTTACGCATCCCATATTTGGGCTATTGACTATTTATTGCAACTGAATTACAAGTACTAGGATGCCAACATCCTTGAAACGAGACTTACGGCTTTATCCTTTTGAATATCTCTTTATAACGATGACTTCAGTGAAATATAGTAAATTCGATGCTGTTTACTTGTTTTGACGTATCAACGCTATGTCTACTATCAAGCAGATGATGAACAAACTGTTGAAAATACAATATCTTGCCCAAATTTATTGCGGAATGCGAGCAAGTATCACACCTTTTGTCTTTTCTATGTATACACTCCAGTATGCAAATGTAAACTGGTGAACACGATTGGAAGTAATGAGGTAGGGATTTGTCCATTTTTGTCTGTCTCAATGGGCAATGCGTTTTATGCAGGAAGACTAGTTTAGCGGCTGAATAGGTCATTCGTTAAGTAGCATTTAGTGCAAAACTAATTTTGCCAGGTATTTTATCGATTGAGTTAAGTCGTAAAAGGACTAAGTTTTTCTCGATAGTATATTCCAAGCCCCTCGTTCCTGTTTTTCTATTATTTCATTTCTGGGATAAATACAGTTTCAATTAATTAGCCACGTAATATCTTATTTTATGATCTCAATTACAACTTCACTCTTGTGTCACTTTAGACTTTATCCACCTTACTCTATTAACCCACTTCCAGAGGTGTTGTTACGTAACTTTCGACATTAATCTTCATTTCGTAGAAACTTGTCTCCAAGTGTTTTTAAAATGTTTGCTCTAGAATTCTCACACTGATAGATGAAAACTTCTTTCGAATCCTACTTAAACTGTCACGACTAAACAGACAACAGCCATCCAAGTGCTGAGCTTATTGAAGAAACAACAGTCTGTAGACACCCTTAAGTGGTCAATCACAAGTGAGACTACAATTTATGGACGGCCTTTGAGCGACGCTAAAGTGACCTTGAGAGTGTTCACCTAATAACTAGGACCAAATGAGGGTTATGAACCAGCGTAAGGAATTAGAATTATGACTCACATTTGATGGTTAGGATTGGGAATTAAATTTAGGATTTTCATCACGAACTGACATCAGCTATAATGCTAAGACTCTATCCAAATGGATGGGTGAATTTCGCGCCAAAATTTGAGGCCTGTTATTTTAAACGCGATGGGTTTGTCCATAAATTATAGTCTCGCCCAACCACAATACTGGTCATTTAATGCTTCAACTAAAACATATTTTGTCTTCAAGCTTTCTACCGATCTAGTCAAAATGTTGTGATCAGAACTAGATCAAATACTGAAAAACGTTTTTAGTCTTCAATGAAATTGTTTTAAGTTGTGATCTGAACACAGCACAACAACTAAGTATCACCACTGGGAATAGTGGGTTTCCGCATGTGTTATTTTTCATTGAATATGAAGTGATTTGTAGGCAAGTTGAATTGTTCGGCATCTTGAATTTGTCAGATTATTTATAGAATAGTCCAATCCACAAATTGATAATATGTTTTCAAATCCTCAGGAACTTATCTTACACTCAAATTTATATTACAACTCTAAATATGAGTAGATCAACAGTTATTTATTTTTCAGTGTATACTATTCGTTTAGCTAAATTTGACGTCTATATGAAATAATGAATGAGCATCTAACATGAATATAGATTGAATTGACCACTTACTGTATTCGTTTATATTCCCCTTGTCCTACTGAGGTTTGAATAGCCTGGTAGTACCAGAAATACTCATACAATATGATCAATAACCTAGTACAAGAATCTCCAAGCGGTTCACGTTGAATTCTTATTTGGATAACGCATATATAGCATTATCAAATGAACAAAATAAATACGTAGAAATCATATAGATAGCATATTTTGATTGAGGAGACATGATCAAAATAAACGAAAGCAGCAATAATACTAGAGATGCAACCATATCTAGAACGATCATATCAAATTAATGCAAACGAAAAACACCGCATATTACAGACGACGTGACATTTTTGTGGACAGTTTTTTATTCTTTTAATCCCCGGTTGTGCTAACTTGCAACTTTTTCAAGTTACTTATTTGGCTTGAGTCATCGCTTTATCTTTTTAGTTCTTTCAGATGAGCATGTCCAGTTACTACTTTGCATACAATCATTCTATAGTTAGTGTCTATTTAAAAACAATGTCCACGCCTGTTGCCAATAATAATATAGTTATAAGGTATCATAACAATAGTCCAGATGTTTGACGGTTCCTTGCATAGATAGTGTTACTTGTCATAAACAATATTGCGGGAAAATCTTTTGATAACGTTATGATCTTTTTCTGTAGCAATTATCAATAAAACTATAAATAGGAATATACTAGCTTGGATCACGTTGACTCTTAGGATAATTCATTGTGAAGCACTATAAAAGTACTAAGCAGCTTAAGAGAGCAGGAAGGTAGCAAGTCTTTTGAAAACTTTGTCAACCTGTTAACAGTGCAGTTGACAACTTCATGAACAGAAGTCAAATAGTGATTATGTTGAACAGTTTTGTCAAAGTTTAGCATCAGACACATACTAGATCACAAATCTCGTGGATTGCTTTATGGAGAATAACACGACGTAGCCATGCAAACTGATGTAGATTGCTCATATTATGAAAGACGTTCATCCAGATTTGTGCGAATAATTATTTATTTCAACTGAACATTTAGAACATATTATTAGGATTGAGTTATTACAAAAATCAAAATCAAACTATTGTTTCCATAGCTAACCAGATTACAGTGAAACAGTATAAAAATACATTGAAAATAACTAGTCGTATAGTGCCATATCCACAGATAATTGTAAGCACAACTAGCACCGAATAGTTTCATAATTTTCACGGAACCATTTGCAAGTATATTCAATAGCTGAAAAATACACAAGAACAATGAATAAAAAAATAACTGAAGTAAACAAGATCTGTTTATAGTACCTTAAATTCTGTAGGACATAATGGGGTTAGGCAGGGTTGCCCAATCTCACCACTCCTCTTCAACTTGACCATCGATGACATTCTGGGAACAGCTCTGATGGATGTAGGTAGTGGCGGTGTGAATCTGTCGCCTGAAGAAAGACTTCTCAACCTTGAGTATGCGGGTGATATTGTCTTACTGTGCGACAATGCCCAAGCCATGCAATCCGCACTTAATCAGTTGGCAATCAATGTCCGTAGGTACGGTGTGTGCTTTACACCTTCGAAGTGCAAAGTACTTCTACAAGACTTGCAGGATTCCAATCCTGTACTCACCCTGGATGGTGAGCAGATAGAAGTAGTCGAGAAGTTCGTGTATCTAGGTAGCGGGATAAGTGCTGGTGGTGGCGTGAGTGATGAGATCAATGAACGTATAGTGAAAGCCAGAGCAGCTTATGCCAATCTGGGCCACCTTTGGCGCCTTCGTGATGTTAGTCTGGCTGGGAAAGGTCGGATCTACAACGCGTCGGTGAGAGCAGTCCTGCTCTATGTTTGTGAAACCTGGCCTCTCCGAGTTGAGGACGTTAGACGACTCTCTGTGTTCGATCATCGCTGTCTCCGAAGGATTGCTGACATTCAGTGGCAACACCATGTTAGTAATGCGGAGCTTCGGCATCGTGTGTTCGGGCGCAGAGACGATAATGCAATTGGTGTCACCATCTTGAAACACCGACTTTGGTGTCTTGGACATGCTCTACGAATGCGGTCCCAGAGAATTCCACGTCGTGCATTATTTGCCGACTCTGGGACTGGTTGGAAAAAGCGGAGAGGTGGTCAGTGTATGACATGCTTTCGGGGTATGAAAGAAAGCTCCAAAGGGCTGGCTTCTATTAGTCCTTCACAACTCCCTGGCTGGGGTCCGAGAGATGGCGCGACACAATGGCTAAAGACGTTATCAGATATGGCTCAGAATAGGAGCCAGTGGCGATCCTGATGTAACTTTCTTTTACTTTCTTCATAAAAATAGGTTGCTTCTTCCTTAACTGAAAGGTTTCTTCTGATTGTAAGTTTCTGTTTCCCCCATTATTATTACACTACCTTACACTAATCTGTTCGTTATTGTTCTTTTTTTTAACGCTCCCTACCTTTTCCTTTTTTCCTTCTTCTCTTCAAATTCTCATTGTTTTGTGTGGCGCATATATATTCGGTGCCCCCTTGCACCAATAATTGTGTGTTCAAATAAAAATAAATAAATAAAATATGTGCGTAGAAAGTTTTACTCACCCTGTTCAAAAGGAGTGAATTTAAAATCAGGATAAAGTTGACGAAGTTTCGACGCATTTGCAGTTTTCTTAAACTGACCATCCGCTTTAGTTGTGTCAAACTTGATATTAGATTTTCGTCAAGGGGTTTTAAATTGTCATAGGTACACAAGAATAAGGAATCAAACAAAATTGGCAGTGTTCATTTTACTCATCTACAAGTATTCTCCTAAAACGTTTGAGAAACTGAAACATCACTGGCAAAATGAAGTCATTACTCGGTAATAATACTAGTGTGTTCACAATATCGATTGTATTATTCATATGCTATGATCTATGTATAAGTCTTAGAAATAGGATATATGTACTACTGTGAATATTAGACAATTATGGCTAGAAAAATGTAACGCCTTATGAAAGCAGATGTGATGTTAATAATAAGGGCCAAGACAACTTAAAATAGGATTGATGATACGCAAAAAAAAACTATTAAGTTTCTGAGGCCGTGTAAACCAGTAATGGCTTCCGAAAAGCTATAAAACAAAAGATGATATTTTTTTAAAAATTTAGGAGACAACTCAAATTATAATTATAATTCAGTTTGGCTTGAATGAGTACCTGTGGAAACAGAAGAGCCCCTATCTGTAAACCGTTAGAAACACCATTTGTAAAGATTTTTTTATGGAGTTAACTCTGTACTTCATGTAACACATAGACAGCTGGTAAATCTATCAAAAGAGAGAAATGGTGTTTATTAAGTCAACAGAAAGTTAATATGAAAAAATTTGCCGAGCTAACGTGTTGACTGACAAATGAAGAATATATTAAAAGAAAATTTGAAAAGGATACAACGAGTTTAGGACAATCCATCGCCTTGGCTACTGCTTCGGCAGCTTGACGGATCGAAATTTCATCACTTTCGGGTACAGAAAGTATGATTGGAGAAGAATCGTTGTACTCCCGTAAAGCCCATATGATGAGATGACCCAAATCAACGGAATAAATAAACTGACGCAATGGCTTACCAGAACCCCAAACAGTTAAAGGTTCGCCATTCTCTAAGCATATATATAGATATACAATTTAATGATAAATGTTTACGTACTCAGTATATATAATAAAAACTAGTATATGCATTCCAACAAATCTAAACACAATTAACAAGTGCTTAAATAGATCAGCATAACATAAGGAGGATAAGTCCAGTGACAAATGATCCATGAAGAGATCAATTAAAATGATGTAGGGAACAAACTTTTAAAGCATCTTTTTATCATAACGTCATATATTTGAGATGCAGAAACATAGGACTCACCACAATACGAAACTAAACATTACCATATTGCACACGATGAATCAGAGCTATCTTTTAGATTATTTACTCAAGACATTTTGTATTATGACACTTTGAATTTCAAACCCCTTTATGAACTTTCGGCAGAATTTTTTTATTTGATTAAACTAAGTGTTCACCCATCAAAATTTTATGAAATGTCCTCTATGTTGCTAAACATTTAAAAATATTCTTGCGCATAAATTAAACAAATCAATTAGCTTAAATATTTTTAAACCACATAATTTTCCAAAATCTAATCAACGGTGGTGACTTTAAGAGTGAACAAACGAAAAGTCAGTATTAAAACAGTAAATTAGAGTCAAAGGCAATTAAACAAAACTAGATACATTACTTTTAGCCAAGTATGCTTTATGAATAAGACCAGGAAGAACATGTCCTTGATTAATATCAAAGTTATCAAATGGACCAAATACATTGGTAGGTATAATAGATGTATAAAGAACACCAAAAGTCTCGCTATACCCTCTGAAATGATGAGAAAACAGAAAGGAAAAACTTCGACAACAATTTAGACAACTGAACACATGTATAGAAGAACCAATACAAGAAAATCTAGTAGCACTAGTCATAAAAAGTCTCCTTTCCCAGTAAAACAAGACGAAATACGAACACTAAAATTCATTTTAAATAAAAGGACACGAGCTTTGAAGATAATACACCAACTAATGAAATTAAAACTTGATTGCTAGACTTAATTTATATACCATTTGGCACTTTGAGTTTATTAGCCATTATAAAATTGTCTAACAACCGATTATTCAAAACTAACAACTGATTTGACATATCATCAACACGTAAAAGCCATTAAACACTCTTGGGATAGTTCGTTCAATATCTAAATAACTTCAATAAAAGGAGCTTGATAACATAAAACAAGATAACTTTAGTTAAATAGCGTGCCTTCTGAAGACTAAAAGAAAAAGGTGGGTTTACCTATTCATTACATCAATCATGCGCTTAGCATAAGAATATCCATAATTAGAATCATGTGGAGGTCCATTATGTACCATAGTTTCGTCGATTGGATAAGTTGTACGATCAGGAAATATACACGTTGAAAGACATGAAATAACCTTCTTTACACCAACTGCATGGCTACTTGATAATACATTGTCATTAATATGCATATTTTGGCGCTAAATAGAAAGTAAAAAAGGATTGTTTAAAATCAATATATAAACAGGGTTATATGTAGCATGAAGACTTTTACGTGTAGAAACCTGCCATTATAGATAAACCTTTTGGAAAGCCACAGAGATAACAGTTTTTTTACAAATGGGAAGAGACGCTGGAAAATTCCATGCCAAGTAATTGGTGATTATACGTTTAAATAAATACTGTTTTTTTTATAGACAGTTGACTGAGTCAAGGCTACTGGTATTCTCTGTTCAAAAGACCATGGAGTTTAGCACTTTTACTCCCCGTGAATGAATAATTTGGTATATATATATATATATCCACGAATGACGTGTGTTAGCAAAAACCAATAGGAATTTCTAAATCGGTCGGAAATTAACTTATCAGATCTGATTAGATTTTTAAAATAAGTGAATTCGTCGACGTACTTAACTGCTTCATTCTATATCCATAGTTGAGGAGTTGATGCGAATCAGTCCTGAGGCAATATTCTGTGTCCAAAGAAAGAAAACCGAACCCCAAAAAGGCTTGCATTGCAGCTTGAGGCTTTCAGAAGACTATTTTAGGAGCGTCTTCACAAACCAGGACCACATTATTTGCGTAATCTAAGTTGACACTTAAATCTCCTGGTAAAAAATTCTTGCGAAGTAAGGTGAGGGGGCTGGCTGTTCACAAAAGAATGCCTATGACAAAGTTAGATAAATATGGAGAAAACGGATAACCCTGATGAACACTACTCGATATCGTCAGTTCTGATGACAGTTCGCCATCAACTCCGACTCGACAACTACTGTTTAAGTAGAGAGCCTGTACGATGTTGATGTACTCATTTGGTATATCTTCAATGGCAGATGCTGCCATAAAACTTGTCGATCTATTGAGTCAAACATTGACTTAAGGTCAAGAGATACAACTATAGTTGGGAGTCGGTAGGTAAGTCTATGTCTAAAATCAGACGAACCTGGAATATCTGGTCTACGCAACAACACCCAAGTCTGAAACTAGCCTGGCTTATCAAGGTTCTCTCTCCACGAACCCTAGTTAGACATCGGATGACTGATGAGGCTAACATTTGAGACACGATATTGATCAAACCGATATTTTTGTGGCTTATAGGCTGAAACGAACAGCATAGATCAGGCAGATGGAATTACATTCGGTTACTAGACTTTAGCTAATTTCGCGGTCAATCTATCTGCTAAAACTAGACCACAACCGTCAGAGACCTTCGAGATCTATTTGGCAAGGCTCTACCCTGATAAAAATAGATAACTGGAGGGGGTAGTTGAAGACCAGCTGAACTGCTCTCCAACGTGTTCTGCCAGTCGTTTCAGTCTCCTGGGTTAAAATCCAATTGTCTCACCTTTTTTCAAAACATTATCGCTAGCTGTCAAACTTTTAATACCTAATTCTTCGATAAATCTGAAGTTCGCTTGAATATATCCAAAAAGAACTATATTTCTTCACTTTAAACACTACTGTCATTTCCTTCTCAACCCAGCTTCGAGATGCTATATTTTATGTAGTGAATCAAGGACAACTAATCAGTGCTTTAAAAGTGATTTACTACAGTACTTTTGCCATTATTACGAATAAGTAAATTTACTTTAACTTACAAAGAATTCAAGATTGTCAGACATATTGGCAAACAATCCGCCAACTTTGGCAGCTAAGTGAATTACGTAGGTTGGGCGCATGCGTTCAAAATACGCCCGAGTAGCATTACTGTCCGTCAGATCAACATCTTTAGAAGATAAAAATATCCAATTTTCATTATTTCGTTTGAGGGAATCGTTAATGTTCTCCAGAGCTAGTCGAATCCCATTTCCCACTAAACCAGAACCCCCTGTAACTAATATAGTAGTTTCCATATTTTAAGTTTATAGTGTTATGAATGAGACCAGGTGTGTTCTAAACTGACGATTTAACAGTATCTAGAACTTGGACAGGTCAGCTTTGGTAAGTATTCTGTAGGACATATAGGCCCTCTAAAAGGAAGAAAGGATAAATTCAGGCTAATTAAATGATAAAAAATGTTTTGGATAAGCTCAATTTGCAATGTAAATTACATTGGTTAAATAAATATGGTAATCTAATTTCAAAACGAATTACACTTTCACGAGATTCGACGAGCCAAACCCTTCTTTTACAGCGAAAAAAGTGTAGTCGTTTACTGCATAATCCTAGACAAGTAAACAAGGATTTATTTGTGTCCTCGGGTTTCCATAGGACCTGTCAGTTGAAAAGCATAGAGAAAGCTACTTGGCTCAATCAAGTCAAAATGAGAGCTTTCTGATACATATAGCACTTGTTTTCTAAAAGTTCACAGGAACCGGTTAGTAAGGCTAAATTGCAAATTAAACGGAATAAGCTAGTCAAATCACTACCGAATAGTGTTTTGAGAATGCAACAATACCCAACTTCTTTGTAACGAGCTAGTACAAACCAACTAGTTCCTTTGCGTCGGTTTCTTGATGTTAGAAAGTGGTTTCAGGTTATGGACAGGACCCAGTGATGTTTACATAATCATACAACTGAAATAGTTCAAGTAATCCCAAACAAGCAAAAAGTGGAAATAATGGTGAACTTCGGGGATATTTTGAGAAAAACTCTTTAGTGTCGGCGTGAATATGGGCGAAAATGCATCGGAATGTCGCCATTTTTACAGACCGCAGTAGGCAGTGCATATTTTCCCTGAAATTTCCTCACTGAGAAGGAATGTCTCCAAATTAACACTTTTAAGTTCCCAAAAATGACTACTTTTTCCTCAAAACTTACACCGATTGTATAATCCTTTCGGTGTTCAAAAGGCCTTCTGTACTGAAGATTAATGTGAACACAAACAAACAAACGAACAGAAGAGATAAAATAAAAACGAACACGACGGAAATAACTGGGACATTCCTTAGGAAGAGAAGGGAAAAGAAAAGAGGGAACATGACGAAAAGTGTCCTTCGTCGCCTACCACAAGAAAATAGTGAAACTTTTCCCTACACGCCTGCTTATAGAGAAAAAAGTGTGTTGAAATTCCTTTCAACTAACCCACTTCACGCAAAAACAACGCTAAATTGTCGACGATATCGATACCTTTGATTTACTTAGTTTATTGTCAGTGAAATTAATAAAGACTGTAAAGTCGAGTTTGCATGTAAACTCATGACCAAGTTTCAATGTTGCCGGACAAAGTCATAGTTTAACATGTCTACGGAACTGACAAAAACCATTCCCTCCCCCAGACCTTGAGTGACGCTGAAAATGACCTTTTCAATATCTAACATCCGTTGGACGAGCTAATATGAACCGATTGATTTATTTGAACTTGATTTTAATGTTTTTGCACGCTTTCGAGTATTTGGTAATAATTAAAAATTGAATTTTTTTCGCTGAGCATGCCCAGTGAAAATCAATCAAATTCAAAATGTTCAGATGGTTGTGGACGGAATAGAAGAAGCTTTCGCTTAACAGGCTTCCGTGTCTAGTAGAAGGGGATCACGAGTAGCTTCAGGCAGGAACCTAGGTATGTCAACGATAAAGGGGAAAAAGAAATTGGCAAATCATACTATGATACTATCTATAGACCTTAGGAATAGATCAAGTTGCCTCTTAAAGGACTCCTAAGAAGTCGTTTGGACTAGCTCGGCCGGCAGCGAATTCCAGCATTTGACAACCCTTAAGGAGAAGAAGTTGTGCCTACAGTCCATTCTGCTATGTTGTGTGTCCAGTTTCTGGGCGTTACCCCTTAGGTTGGTATTAGGACTAAGCTTAAGTAGGTGTTTAAGAGGATGTCCAGAAGTGTTAAGGATACTGTAAGCCATTAGGTCATCTTTAAGACGCCTATACTGTAATGGGTAAAGGTTAAGTGATTATAGGCGCTCTTCATTTGAGTCACCGAACTGACTTCGTGGCTCGCCGTTGGATACGCTCCAGGGGGTCCTTATTCTTTTGGAGTTAGGGAGGAAATACTATGTTTTCATACTCTAAATGGGGATGGATAAAACTGTTGAAGATTATATGGAAAGTTCTCCCATCAAACTGGCCAAAAATACGCTTCAATGTTACTAGTGCAAGTTCTACTCGGTAGGTATTTTGTCACAGTTAACGTAAGACTTCAAATCGTAGGGTACCAGGACTCCTAAATCTTTTTGGACTTGGGATACTACTTGAGAGGAGTTTTCTAAGTTGTAATTATAGTCTACAACATGTCACAGACGGACTACTTCACATTTTGAAATGTTAGAGGTAGGTCCGTTGTCGTCTACCCAACTTTGAAGTCGTGTCAGATCCTCCTGGATATCGCCTTGGTTGCGTATCTCTCTCCGAAGTTTCATGTAACGGCAAAAAGTAATAAGTCTGACGTTACCTGTTGAGAGAGATCATTTATTTAAATCAAGAAGAGAAGAAGTCCTAGTACTGAGCCCCAGGAGACCTTATTAGGACATACTACAAGATCAAAAGTCGTGCTAACGATATCCTTATAATCTCAGATATCACTTCGGGCTCTGTGAACTTAGCGTACACCTTTCCTGATACGAAAAGTAGCCTGAACTTTAGATCCATAGTCAAAAACGTCTCCAGCAGTCTCGACTTTGTGTACCCATACGTTAACGAATGTCGTATCTCAAGTTTTGACAAGGAATATTATATCGAGCAATTGGACTTTGGTTTTAATTACAAATATCAGTAAATATTAGACTAGAACAAGTGTCCTTGAATTTTTCAGGCATATCATTGATGTTTAATGGATTCGCACTTTGTAAAATAAAATAGCGGTTATTTTTTATTACCCGGAATCGATCAGAATCAAGCGAATTCACACAATCAACCGAGTAGACTATATTTTGAAGTTTGTTTCAGAAAGGCAGCACAACACTGTTGCAGACTATTTAGTTGTAGATACTTCTCGTATAACTTCCTTGAACGGTTCTCAAGAAACAAACTTCCTAAACAATTTCAGTTTCAAGAGGAAGACACTGACAGGGAAACATTGCTGCGGCATGTTTATGAGCAGGGATCACTTAATTGTGTCGAAACACATACTTTCTGAAATAAGTGTCCGAGCAACCATTGAGCTCATAATAAAATGATTTTGCTGGCATGATACAAATAAAGATATAACGTGTTGAGCACACTCCTGTCTAAGCTGCCGGAAATCTAAGATTATTGGACACAGAAAATGTCCTTTAGGCTCTTTCAGATTTCACCATGCTCATTTCAACTTTGTTCATCTTGATTTGATAGGATCATTACCAGATTCAACTGGACAATCCTATCTCCTAACTTGTTCAGGTTATTTCACGCGATGGCAAGGAGAAGTACTGTCAGGGGAATTATTTTTGAAAATGTGACCCGCTCCACCACGAAACGATGCGTAGAAAACGTTGGCTGCCTCTTAACCATTACTACAGACCGTAGGCCTTAGTCAGAATCTGGACTTTGTATGGTTGGCAGAACGGAAAAAATCTCGTTTCTAGCATTATGCTCCAACTACATAAATTCGTTTCCGTCGAATGTAGGTTTAAAACCCTGATTCAGTCAACCTAAGAACGCAATGCGTTCAATCAAACTTGATCTCCCGTGAACACAATCCACTGATGTCTCCGTTCAACCCGCCTTACAATTTGGTCTATACATTTACAAACTTTGATATCCATCACACCAACCCTTCGAAGGTGCATAGGATGAACCCGATAGAATTCTTCATCGTGAATCCAAGTACTATACTGTCGATACGAACCACAATGTTTTCAGAAAAACCAGGCAACTGCTCAGTGTAAATTATCATTGCATACTATTACTTCTTGGATCTGGCGTCTTGTACAGTATTAATTGCATTTCAGATTTTAGTCGAAAACGAAACAATCAAAAACACTTATCATTGTGTTCATATGCATTTCTATCAGAATAAAAAGTTAATTTTTTAATATGAATGTATATATGTGGATATATAAACACATATGTAAACCTTTCGTTAGTAAATTTCTATCATACATTGCACATTTTCCTAAAGTATGAATGTACGATTAGACGCCGCTAAACGTAAGCGTGTGTTGCGAAAACATTTACCAGCAATTAGTTGGTTAGGTTTAAATCTCTGGATGATCACTATTAATAAATCTTACTACCCAACACGAGAGAAGTGAGCTGTATCGGTTTATATTCCCCCTCAATATAGACAGTTTCGTAAGTCTTCGACAGTGAAGCCAACGATAATTATTTTACTAGACATGTCAGTAGTTGATAGCCTCGAGTTATTCAGTTGCACAAGATCTCGCTTGGGTATGTCGTTTGATACATCTGTTAGGACAACTTGTCGGCTTAAAGTGAACATAGCTTAGCACATAGGTCATTATTCAAATATAGCCTTACATTCGTCCATCCCTGACTTCTGGTTTAGTTGTTGTACATATCGTTACATAAGGAAATGTTTTGGACGGTAGTATTATCAAACAATGAGTATCTGTAACACTTTCAGATTTATTGAAATCAAATAATAATGCTATTTACTTGTTAATCATCTGATACTTTTGCTGATTTTTAGGCATTGAAATAAATGCCTACTTAAGTCATTCCCTATTTTTCCGTGTTGGTCATAATTCTTGATTGAATGGCTTGATACTATCATGTATTCTTTAGGAAACTCTTAAGTACTTAGTGTTCTTGGCTTGAATTACTCCTTGAAACATAACTGAACTCATATTTTTCTTTACGCTGTAGGTAAACGCATATTTACCAAGTACGTTAGTTGTATGGCGATCACCTGAGAAGAACTTTCCGTTAACATCCCCTAGTTATTATTTATTATTGTGCATTACTCAGTGTGCATAATTTGGTTTTGAGTGTGACTACCTTATTTTCACCGTTTCTGTATAATCTTGCTTTGACCTAAACCTTATGTGGGTCGCTAAATTATTTATCTGTTTCATCTAACTTATCTAAAAGTGGTAACATTTTTCCATGTGGTTTGGATATTTATCGTTTAGCATAATTGTAGTGTGTGTTATCGTGAGATGGTCATACTATCTTGTATATCGGGCATATTTTACAACTGAAAAATAAATTTGAAGGACATATTTATCACAGATTTGCCTTTCATATATATTTTATATGAACCCTCGGTGGTGGACATCGACACGTCTGTATCTACCGATAATACTCATTGAAATATAAATACCTAATTCTATGTTTAGTAACTGATTACTTGACTTCCCAAGTACATTCTATGCTCACAGTCACTGGTTCTAGTAATAAAACAGTCAATGCTAAACAATAACTATATATTCAGATGTTCTATTTAGTTAAATGAGTTCTCTATAATAAGCATCTCAGCACTATCTCTGAATTTAAACCCTAAACCATTGATCCAGAGGTTAACGTTCATTTTATGGCACTGCGTTTCATGGATGAGTTGATCAGGCGGCGTATCTCCCGTTTCTAAATCAAATGCGTTTATCCAGAGCATTTTTATATGATTATCGACGTCCATTAGTAATTGAAACATCAACTCTAACACTTACATTCCATGTTCACCACATATTAAAAACAATATAAAGAATCTTAAGAATTTGTTTGATTCGTTTTGACAAATAATTTTAGAGGGTTTTTCGAATTCATTTAATGTTAAATGTTTTTAAAATGGGATTACTTGCGAAAAAGTATAAGACAGGTCAGTCATGATACCCTCAAATCACCTGACATATGAATAGTATTGGATTATTGAAGCTGTGAAAGGATAAAATATACAAACCCACTTAATGTAGACCATAAATAGACAAACAAATAATAGAAAAATGATGATATATTCAGCCCAAAGATAGAGAAAAAGCATACTATGCTCACGTCTTTATATCATTTGACGTTTTATGAAACATACACGTCCCCTAAAGACTCACATAATACTCAGTCAAGTCAGATTACAAACATGCAACCGACCCCAGCAATTCGAAGATGAAGTGACCACCTTGATGTAAGCTTCTTGAGGTCACTGGAGTGCTAAAACGTTAAGTTCACTTCCCAGCTAGCTTTTATCTTGCATGGAGAAAAAATTAGGTCCGAGGCTTTTCATATGTTCAAGGTGTTTCTGAAGTGTTTTGAGGTCTATTTTAGCAACCGTTGAATATCTATTTTCCTAGCTGTCTAGTGTTCAGCTTTGAGGATTGTGTGATTAAGGCCTAGTACCATTACACCTACCAGGTATGGTGCTACGGGAGAACTGAAGACATTTGACTGATTAAAAAATTTATATTAT